GCCCCAGCCTCACAGCCCCCCAGCTCCCAGCCCTCAGCCCCCAGCCCTCAACCCCCAAACCCCAGCCCTCAGATCTAAGCCCCCAAGCCCCAGCCTTCAGTCCTCAGCCCTTAGTCCTCAGCCCTTAGCCCCCAGGTCCCAGCCCCCACCCCCCAGCCCCCAGGCCCCAGCCTCTAGCCCCCAGCCCTCAGCCCTCAGCCTATCAACTTCCTGTCCTAAGTCCACTTCCCAGCAGGCCAGGACCACCCGTCTTCCTCAAGTGCCTCTCCCCCTCCCCTGGAAATGACCCAGGTCACCACCTGTCCCCAGTGACTCCACTGTCCCTTCAGGACGATCACAAATTAACCCTGGAAGAGCTGAGCACCAAGTACTCCGTGGACCTGACGAAGGTGAGCGAAGGCAGCCGCTGAGGGAGCCCCCCCCCCCCGCCCCCGACGGCAGTGGAGCTGGGAATCGGGGCCCTAACTTCCAGGTCATTGTTCTTACCCCTCTGCCTCTGAGTTCCAGGGCGGGGCGAGCAGAGTATGGCGAGGCCCCAAGGAGTTCAGGGTCAGATGAGAGGAGGGAGAATGGGGTAGGGCAGCGCTGCTCCAGCCTGTGTCCCGGGGCCCCTCCGCGCTCCTACAAACTGTCAAGGCCCCAAAGAGCTTTTGCTCGCGTGAGTTATATCTGTTGATGGTTATCATATTCAAAGTTAAAACGGGGAAAATTAAGAGACACTTCCCAATTCGTTTAAAAACAAGGGTAAATCCACTCTATATTAGTACCATCGTTTTACGACAAACCGGTTTCCCAAACGAGCAGCGTTTTACATTTTTGCGAACCTCTTTAATGTCTGGCTTTCTAACCGGAGACGGCGGGATTCCCATGTGCTTTCAGCATTAAATCTGTTGTGACACATGCCATGTAGCCTCTGGGAAATTCTACCGTACGTTCGAGAACAGGAGCGAAAAAGGTGAACCACGATTTAGCATTATCGTGAACAGCGTTCGCCCCCCCCCCCCCCCCGAAAGGGTCTCGGGACCCTCCTGGCCCCCAGACCACCCTTTGAGAACTAATCGTTTAACAGGAAAACCGTATATGTGGTTACTGCCCCTGCTGCTGTCACCACTCATACAAGGACCACAAATAAAAACCTAAAAGCCCTCAAAATAGAAGCCCTTCTTCGTTCTAGAACGTCTTCGCGGAAAGGGTGGGTCTCATCTGGTAACCCGGGAGGTGTGCAGGAGACTTGTCCTGTTTTCATTCCAGTTGTATGTTTTTCCGGGGAAGTTGGGGAGTGGCTGGTGGGTATGAAGCAGCGTTTGTGTTTTAATCCTCTGGTGGGTTCTACTATTGTTTTCGTTTAGAGGAAAAGGCACAGGAACTCACGCCCAGCCTCCAGCGAGAATCTATTCTTTCCTGCGTTTGCTCTTTCCCCCCATCTCCAAGTTAAAGAGCCGAAGCACGAATGAATGTCCCAAGGTTATCGACATAAGGTGTCGTAGCCGGTCATTGCGTTAGCCTTGCTCGTTATGTCACGAACAGTTGATAGTTACCTCCCGCTGGAGACGGGGTACCGTAGGGGAGGGACCCCTCTGACTCCTGCGGGAGTCCTGCCACAGTGCCAGCCCAAGATACAAATTCAAATTTTTTGTGAACCGACCCATCAGCTAAAAATCCTCCCCATGTAAACGTGCTGATGGGAACGCCTGGGCGGCTCAGGCGTTGAAGCATCAGACTCTCGTTTTTGGCTCAGGTCATGATCTCCAGTTTCCTGAGTTCGAGCCCAGCGTCAGGATCTGCGCTGACAGCAAGGAGCCTGCTGGGGATTCTCGCTTTCCCCTTTTCTCTGCCCTTCCCCTTCACGCCATCTCGGCCTCTCTCAAAATAAAGTTTAAAACCCTGGGATGCTTTAAACACGCTAAAGGTTGTCCCTTCTATCATGCAAATTTTAAAATCCCACCTTACCTAGGAAGAAATTCCAGGGTGGCCTTCAGGGAGCTTCCTCGGTCTCTGGACCCTCTAACCGCGTCTTGGGGCTATAAATGGCACATCTGAGCCTTGCCGGAGCCTGCTTCTCTGTTCGCGGCCCTCCATTCTTCCCTCTTTCCTCTCCACACAGGGCCTTAGCGCCAAAAAGGCACAGGAAATCTTGAACCGAGATGGACCCAACGTGCTTACGCCGCCCCCCACCGTTTCGGAATGGGTCAAGTTCTGTAAACAACTCTTCGGTGGCTTCTCCATCTTACTGTGGATGGGTGCCATTCTCTGCTTCGTGGCCTATGGCATCCAGATGCATTTCAAGGAGGATCTTTCCAGAGATAATGTGAGTCTGTTCCACTGCCACCGGCCAGCCCGGTCTCTGCTTAGCTCTGATACTCTCCTGCTCCGCACCCTTGCCCTCTCGAAGGCCTCTGGCCCAAACCCCTGGTACTCCCAGGACTTTCTGAGGGAGCCCTTGGTCCTTAGGCTTTTATCTAGAAAGCTACTGATGCAGCTGCCTGAGAGGCATGGTTTCACCCCGAAACTTGCTCTCCTTTGATTATCCTCCTGCCTCATCATCAAAGCACTCTGCGGCCCCGTTCTCTTTGCCAGAATTTTGATCTCTTCACCTCCTTCCTCCTGGTCTCCCTCCCTTACCTGCCCCCCCCCCCCAGCCCAAGCATAGCCCAAGCATCCTGGGGTTCTGCTGCATCCTGCGGGCCTTCACGGTAGCTCAGGGCTCCGACTGAGACACCCTGCTCCAGATTCTTCCTCAGCCCCTCCCCGGCCATTACCCTGGCGAGCTGATTTTCTGATTTGAAGAGGAGAAAAAAGGGCTACTGATGAGCCCTGTGTATCCCCGCCCCCAGCTGTACCTGGGCATCGTACTGTCCTTCGTGGTCATCATCACCGGCTGCTTCTCCTACTACCAGGAGGCCAAGAGCTCCAAGATCATGGAGTCTTTCAAGAACATGGTGCCTCAGGTAGGATCGGTGTGGGAGGATCAGGTGAGCAAGGCGTAGAATGTGCCCAAACGGGCAGTTTTTAAGTCCCCTGAACGTTACATCCTGCGACGCGTGAGGGAGGGGCAAAGGAAGTTGGAAAGGCTGGACTCCTCAATGACCTGAAAGACAAAGGCCAGACAAAGGCCAGCCGCGGGAACGTTCCAGGTTCCAGGGGGCTAAAGAGACACAACAACTGAATGCAATACCTGGACGAGACCAAGTCCTGTGGCGAAGGGGCAAATAATGCAGCTGACGTACTGGGTCCCAACAAATAGGGGACTGACGTACTGGGTCTACAAACAGCAGACTAAAGTCTGGTGTCAAAGCGAAAGTTAACGACACCGCTAGCTGTATTGTGGTTCTTTAACATACTCATTATTGAGCTGTGCGCCCTGAAAGGTGCAGGATAGAAGACCACGACGTACGTAACGTACCCTCAGACGGTTCCGGAAAAGAAGTGCTCGCATCCACACGTCGGTAGACACGGTGACGGAAGGACAGAGCGAGTGGGGTAAAACGTTAACAGTGAATCTGGGTAAAAGTTATACTGGTATTCTTAGTACCATTTTTATGCTTGACACCTTCCTGAAAGTTTAGGTAATTTTCAAATTAAAAAAAGATGATTTGTCAGCATCTGGAAATAACATGACAGCAGAAAGAGGTTTTTAGGCACAGAGATGGAGACTCGGAAAGGAACAGGCGCGAATTTCCCGACAGCACCATCATGTTCTGGTGTCCTAGCCCAGGAGATTTTTCCCCTTTGCTGTCAACGTGAATTAATTCCTCCCTCGGGTAAGACTTCGGGGAACAATGTTTTGGTAAAATGAAGCAGGAGTGTGGAGACCATCCGTTCGCTTTTGCTGCCTAACTGGTCACCCCAAACTTAGTGGCTCAAAACAACAAACATAGCGTTTCCCACACTTCTGTGGTTGGGGCTGTTCTGATCTGGGCTGAGCCGAGCAGGGCTGGAAGGTCTCAGATGACCTCATCCCCATGTCTGGGGATGACTGAGATGGCTGTGACAGCCGGGGCCTTTCTCCTTTGACCTCTCTTCCTCCAGGAGACGAGCTCGGGCTTGTTCAATATGGTGGCAGAGGGGTTCCCGGTGACAAAAGGGCAAGCGCCCACGTGCGAGCACTTTTTTAAGCCTCTGCTTTGCATTATGTGTCTAATGTCTCAGGAGCCGAAGCCAGTGGTATAGCCAAGCCTAGGTGTAGGGATGGAGAGACAGACCCCATCTCTTAGAGACAGGGTCATCAAAGTCACATCGCAAAGGACAAGGATGGTAAGAATTTGGAATCCGCCAAAGAGACCTTCAAGCGTGATGTGGTGAGTGACGGTGTAAGAAAGGGAGTCAGAAGGAAGGAGCCCAGGAACAAGAGGTTATAGGCCAGAAGCAGGATGAGGGAAGCAGAAAGTTCTGGAAATGACCCAGCACTGCCTTCCCACAGCAAGCTTTGGTGATTCGGGATGGAGAGAAGATACAGATCAACGTAGAGAACGTGGTGGTAGGAGACTTGGTGGAGGTGAAGGGCGGAGACCGAATCCCTGCGGACCTCCGGCTCATCTCTGCACAAGGATGTAAGGTGAGGGGGTGGGGGAAGCCAAGGGAGGGAGCCCAGCATGGTCTTAGGGTGACCTTAGGTACTGGCCTGGATTCGGTTAAAGAAAGCACGATCTTATCATTCAGAACCTCGAGAAGTTACAGGTGCAAATTTGAGGTTGGAGACAATAGGTGCTGGGGTGTGAATTTGTTTCTCTCTGCAAGCCAACAATGATGGCGTCGGTGGCGGATAAAGATGTGTCATCTTTAGGAAGGGATCTTTCTTCCCATGCTCACTTTACGACCCATCCTCCCTCCCATCCCAGGTGGACAACTCCTCCTTGACTGGAGAGTCAGAGCCCCAGTCCCGCTCCCCTGACTTCAGCCACGAGAACCCTCTGGAGACTCGCAACATCTGCTTCTTCTCCACCAACTGCGTGGAAGGTGAGCATGACGTCATCAGTGGCCTAGATTCGAAAGCAGAGATTGAAATAAAGATTCCAAGAACCCTCTATCTTCTAAAGACAGTAGGGTAGGTAAGAGCCAGTAAACGGGTGAGGCTCTCCATCGCTCATGAGCTGCACGACCTTGGGGAAAGGTCAAAGCCATCGTCTCCCCGTTTTGCACCACGATGATACGAAGAGTCGCTATCCCGTGGATGTTTATGTGGATTCAATGCACAGAAAATGTTTAGCACGAAGCCTAACACGTTGGAAGTGCCCTGCAGTCGTCAGCTAGTTCCATTGTGGCTGCTGAATAGACTGTGCTCTCTCAGCTGAAAATAGCACAGAAGGACAGAAAACTGTTGAGCCCCGCCAGGTCAGTCTTCTCGTGAGTTGAGCGCTAACTTCTCACTATTCCAGAAAGGTATCAGCATCGGAGATCCGAGTTACCAACGGTGCCACTCAACCCGTTGGCTCTGCTCCTAGAATCTAAGACACCCTTGTGCAGGCAGTTCTGGCCAAGGGTGGTAACGACGGACTCAATATCATTATGTCAACCTTCCCCCTCAGGGAGGCCTGCAACACCCCCTGAACACACATGAAAGCCATTATTCGTGCTTAACAACAAATGTTTGGGTATCCAAGAAATAGCTATTTTTTAATTGAACGCCTTGGACGCGCCAAGTGCTACAGATGTCTCTGACGCTCACAACACTGCACGACGGATACTATCGCTTTTTTACACATGAGAAGCTCAGAGAAGTTAAATGCAGTCTCCAAGAGCACAAGTCGATAGGAAAGAGGAAAATCAAGGATTCTCCTGCAGGTCTGTCTCCCAAAGCCCATGTTCTTTCCGTAGACCCTTCTCTGGGACAAAGCCGCCTACTGATCTCTCTGTTAATGAAATTATTTAATGCAAAAATACTTTGGGGGCATCTGGCTGGCTCAGTCAGTGGAGCATGCAGCTCTTAATCTTTGGGTTGTGAGTTCAAGTCCCACAAGGGGCATGGAGCCAACTAAGATAAGATAAAGCAAAATGAAATAAATAAAATAATAAAATAAAATGAGGGGCGCCTGGGTGGCTCAGCAAGTTAAGCATCCGACTCTTGATTTCGATTCGGCTCAGGTCATGATCTCACAGTTTCGTGAGTTCGAAGCCCGCATCGGACTCTGCGCTGACAGTGTGGAGCCTGCTTGGGATTCTCTGTCTCCCTCTCTCTCTCTGCCCCTACCCTACTCACGCTGTCTCTGTCTCTCTTAAATAAACTTAAAACGAATTTTTTTAATTTAATTTAATTTAAATTTAAAAAGAGAAAATACTATAACAGATGAGAGTAATTATAAAACGAAATAAATAAGAATCCCACCAGAAAATAAAATCGACATTGAACCATTTTTAAATTTTGATCGGACAGAAAGAGCCAGGCGACCAAGGTTCCTCCAAAAACACTGGATTTCAATTATTAAAATTCAGGAAAAGCTTTTGCTCAGATTTGTCTTCCCAAAGTGGGGTTTTCATCAGCAAAGCGTATGCCTCAGATGAAGGAGCAAGTGGGTGGTGGCATCCCACCCAGGAAACAAAGTTCCGGCCGGAACGGAGGAGACCACGGGGACCCAAGATGTGGCCGAGAGGGCGGAGCTAGGCCCCAGGAGCTCTTGACTGTGCAGCTGAGGGATGTCCACGCGGTTTGCAAACTAGTAGCCTACCTTCAACCTTGATCCCAGATCCTCACCTCCCGACGTTCATGGCCACGGCCCTGACAGGGCTGCAGGTACGGACGTCTGACTCTGGGTTCTCACGCATCTCCACGGGGCCCAAGCTGTCTCCCTGGCGACGTGCAGGGTCTGGAGGGGTCAGTCTGGCCTGGGATACAGGAGGCTTGCCCGTGGGCTCAACCTTCCCCAGCTTCGCATCAACCCATCCTGTCTCCAGACACGTGAGATTCGGTACTAAATCCCGCCTCTGCGGATGGACGAACCCACGAGGGAAGGCGTGCAAAAGGCGAATCAGACCAAACCCTGGCACAAAATAGATGTAGGTAGCACCAAGCTACCCTGCCCTCAAACACAAAGCCCTCTCGGTCCCCCTCAGTCATCTGAGTGTCTGCTTTGACAAGGCTCGGTGAACGCCACCTACTCCCGCCCGTGTGGAGCCCGTGTGCAGAGAGCCCTGGACGCAGCCAGTCTTCCCCGGCACCCCGGCCCCGCCCGCCGCCCTCAGGGTGGGACCCTGCTCTCAGGCCCACTCAGCTGAAGGGGACCTTGGAAATGGACCAGCCGCTCTGAGCCACGGTGTTTGCGGGAGCCGTCAGAGTCGAGCCACCCCTCCTGAGTCACGCGTAGGAGTTTCTGTCGATCCTTCTTAAGGCCAAATTCATCCAGATGAAGAAAAGACAGAAGCGAGTATCTGGGTGTGTCCTATGTGCCCGATTCTGTTCCAAGCTGTTTTGTCACCTCTCATCCTCGCCACTTTGTAGATAGATGCTCTCGGCCCACTTTCAGGCTGAGCGCACCTGGGTCTCAGGGTAAGGAGCTGACTCTCAGACCGGGCAGCGACCACGCTGCAAAACTGAACTTCCGGCCGGAGCCCTGCTGGTTAGAAAACAGGTGCTATTTCTAGAATACGCAGCTCTTTCTGGGTGATTCGGTGACTGTAGTGGCAGGGATTCCAGCCATTCTGGTAAAGCAGGAAAAAACCGTTTTGAGCCAAGAACGGGCCCCTCATTTCGAGCCACGTAGGTGAGGGGCCCGCATCCCACGGGTGTGGAGCCAAGCGTGACGTCCAGGTCCCCCTTCTGAGGCCGGGGCAGGGTCCGCGGAGCGAAAGCCCAGAAGCCCAGCTGTTATGACGGTTCCTCCCCAGCAGGGGTCAGGCTGGCTCCAGCCAGCAGAGCAGGGAGGGGCTCAGCGGAGCCGTTTCTCGAACTCCACACTGGGGCCACTGGGGCAGGATAATTCTTCGTTGTAGGGGGACAGAGGGGCTCTCTCGTCAATTGCAGGATGTGGCAGCATCCACGCCCTCGCGCAGCGACCTCTCCCACCCCAGAGGTGACAGCCAAGGTGCCTCCAGACCTTGCCCACCGGCTCCTGGGGGCAAAATGCCACCGACGGAGGACACACTAGTTCAGGGGAGAGGCCGATGTTGGAAGGTAGGGCTCTAACAGGAGGGCGGCCACCATTCCTGGGGATCTAGAAACTTTGCAGCTGCTGAGGGAAAAATAAGAAACAGACAGGCAATAAGAGATACTCAGAATCAGTGTAACAAAGACCTTTTATTTTTAATGTTTGTTTATTTTTGAGAGAGACAGAGACAGAATGCGAGTGAGTTAGGGGCAGAGAGAGAGGGAGACACAGAATCCGAAGCAGGCTCCAGGTTCTGAGCTGCCAACACACAGTCCGACGCGGGGCTCGAACCCACGAGCCGTGAGATCATGACCTGAGCCGAAGTCGGACGCTCAACCGACTGAGCCACCCAGGTGCCCCAACAAAGACCCTCTTGACAGGGAAGGCAATAAGGCAGTGAAATGGGAGGACTGTGAAATCAGAGATTTTTCGGGCGAGGAGACCCTTTGCTTGTGTCAACTAAATGTGAGGAGAATACAACACGACGGCCTCCAGGAGGCTCTTGAGTGTCCACCTTGCTCCTGACAGCTGTGTCCTTGCAGGAACCAAGGGCGGCCACTTCCCCACCTCAGACTTCCCTGTTCCTCTGCAGGAACAGCCCGGGGCATTGTGATAGCAACGGGAGACTCCACAGTGATGGGCCGCATCGCCTCCCTGACGTCAGGCCTGGAGACGGGCAAGACCCCCATCGCTGTGGAGATCGAACACTTCATCCATCTGATCACGGCGGTGGCCGTCTTCCTTGGCGTCTCTTTCTTCGGGCTCTCGCTCAGCTTGGGCTACGGCTGGCTGGAGGCTGTCATTTTTCTCATCGGCATCATTGTGGCCAATGTGCCCGAGGGGCTGCTGGCCACCGTCACTGTGAGTAGCCAAGGTGGAGGGTGGCCGTCTACACAGACAAACCACCCCAGGGGTGGAAACCACTAGAAAACACAAGAAATCTCTCTTGCTGTTGAACCTCTCGAGGGCAGGCTACCCCTGATGTGTGTACCGTTACCACCCGCTTTGCTCCCCAAAGGCACCGACTTCCCCCACCCGCATTTTCTGGTGCCTTCTCTGTTTTCTCCGTGAGTTGCGGTGCAGAGAGCATTAGATTCTCAGCCGTCGGCAGTGAGTTCCAGTCCTGGGTGTACCGGCGGGCGCACTTGGCCGAATCACTGAACCTCGCCAGGCCTAATGGAATCATCGGGTTTTCTAGAGGAAGATTGACTTGGAATATAGAATCTTACCAGAAAGGGCTTCAGAGCCCATAGAAACCCAGCCTTTCAGCCGATGCCGAATATCCGGTGTACAATCCGTGGCAGATGCTGAGGATGGTTTCTGGTCCTGGGAAGCCCGCCCCATCCGCGCTCTGCTCATTTCGTCACTAGGTTGCTGTAGCTGGGTTTCACTGTGTTGAGCAGAAACAGGTTTTCCTGTTTGGTCCCAGTTTTCCTATCTGAAGACACGCAAAACAAGTCAATTCTCTCTCCCTTCTACAAACTATGCTTTCGACTGATGGTATCCATCGTGTCCTCCTCAAAACCTCCGGCGGGAGATAAACAATAACCCCTTTTCCCTTAGCCGTCCTTCACGTCACACGGCCTTCAGGCCCCCGGCTGGCTGGTCACCCGTTTGGGGTATGCCCTAGTTTACCGATATCCTTCTTAAAGTAGAAATGAGAATTAATAACCCAGGGTGTGGTTGGTTAGCACAAAACCCCAAGACCAGTGATGAGATGTGAATAGATCATAACCCCACGATTAGAATTCTGTCCTGTTGTAGCCATGGCCTAAGAACGTATTCGTTTTTCAAACAACCTTGCCGCATACCTGACTTTCATTGAATTTGCGGTCCGTATAATTGACGTCCACAAAAATCGGATTTGAGTGACTTCTCAAGTCTGCAATATTCCTTCTCAGTTTCATGATTCGCTCCGTGTTCTTTTTTGATAACTATTGGTCCAACCCCCACCCCCCCCCCCCGCCCCGCACACACAGCATCTTATACCCCAGTGAACCGTTAGCTACCGACGTGGTCCCCGGGGAGACCGGACTTGAGGGACACAGGGGGGGCCTGAACTCGATTTGGAGCAGGGCCTGCTGAATAGAAAAGACGAAAGGATCCTGGGGGAGCAGAATATTCCAGGGATCAGGCCGTGCTCTACGTTACCCTGGTAGAGGAAGACTCTCTTTTTCCAAAGCGCTGCCGTAACGCGCGAACAAAATCCCTTCCCTGATTTCCTTTACCACGGCCCCAGATGGGATTCCTAAGGACTAGGTGGGAACGAAAGTGAAATGACTACAAACAGTGACAATAGCAATAGCAGCTACCAGATTTCCCAAGCACACCGTGGTGTGAGTGGCCGACGTCTTGTCTCCGTTGATCGTCTGCCCTCTTCGCGGCCTTAGGTGTGTCTGACCCTGACCGCCAAGCGCATGGCGCGCAAGAACTGCCTGGTGAAGAACCTGGAGGCGGTGGAGACGCTGGGCTCCACCTCCACCATCTGCTCGGACAAGACGGGGACCCTCACCCAGAACCGCATGACCGTCGCCCACATGTGGTTCGATGAGACCATCTACGAGGCGGACACCAGCGAAGAGCAGACTGGTGACTGGTGGCACCAGTGGGCCGAGGGTGCGGGGCTGGCCGGGGGTGGCGACTGGGCTGCGGAATCTGACGCGGGGAAGACGGCTGGGCCCCGAGTGCAGAGAAGGGAGGCACGGAGGAAAGGTGCGGAGGTGCCAGGCACTGGGGCACAGAGCAGGATGGGGCTATGTCCCTGCTTTGCACTGCCCTGCCCCCTGCCCCCTACTCATGAGCTTCTCCTTCCCCCCCCTTCCTCCCCAGGGAAAACGTTTGCCAAGGGCTCAGCTACCTGGTTCGTCCTGGCCCGAATCGCCGGCCTCTGCAACCGAGCTGACTTTAAGGCTAACCAGGAGACCCTTCCCATCGTCCAGGTATGGGGCCTGCGCGGGGAGGGGATGCCTCGGTGTCTGGGGCGTGCCCCGCGCCCTCCCCAGACACCTCTCTTCAGTGCTCCCCCCCAGGTCCTCCCCACCACGCCCCCCCCCGTCCCTGTGCCGTACCCCCTGGGCTTAGCAAACACACCCCGTCTCGGCAGCGAGCCACAACAGGTGATGCTTCTGAGTCGGCCCTCCTCAAGTTCATCGAGCATTCGTACAGCTCTGTGAAGGAGATGAGAGAGAAAAACCCCAAGGTGGCCGAGATTCCCTTTAATTCCACCAACAAGTACCAGGTACAGAACCCGCGAAGGCAGAATGGCGGTGGGGGTGGGCTCATCGTTTGGAGAATGCCGTCGCCTTCAACCTAATCTCTGAACAGTAGAATGAAGACGTGGATAGATAACCAGCATCCTCATTAAGAGGAAGGCTGGGGGCACCTGCGTGGCTCAGTCGGTTGAGCGTCCGACTCTTGGTTTCGGCCCAGGCCGTGATCTCGGGGTTCATGAGTTCGAGCCCCCCGTCGGGCTCTGCGTTGACTGCACAGAGCCTGCTTGGGATTCTTTCTCTCCCCCTCTCTCTGCCCCTCCCCGCCTTGCTCTCTTTCTCTCTCTCTCAAAAAATACAAACATAAAAATAAATAAAAATTTTAAAAAAGGAGACGTTCACCGCAAGAGAAAGTGACAGACAGGTAGAGGAAAGACGCTGAGCAGGAGTCTCCCAGTCGCTTGCGAAAAGAGCAAGTCGGAAGTGTCCCATAGGTAGCGAAAGCCGCCGGGTGACAATCGGGGTCCAGCCTCGTGCAGCTGTCGGAGGCATCTCTGTGGCTCCCGCCAGGCTTACCACCGCGGGATAAGGCTGGGTTTGCAAGGCGCTCCCCGGTCGGTGGTGCCCTGTTTCGTCTCAGGCCTGTGCGCGAGGACGCCAGGCAGACTCAGCAAGGGCGGTATTTGGAAGTTACTGGGAGTGCAGATCCTAAAAGTTTTCCTCACAAAGCGGAAAAAAAAATTGTAACTAAAAAAAAAAAATGATAATAATAACAAAAGCTATATGGGGTTTGGAGTTTTTAAAAACCCAATTCCCCGTCTTCTCACGTTGAACATCGAGCACGTAAGCGGTCAAGAAAGAGATCCAGAGTTTTGTGTCTCCGATGGCTTTCAGTCAGTGTAACAAGATAGGTCTCCTGAGCCCAAACTGCGAACTTATTTCTACTTTTATCTGACGTTTAGTAGCCTCACAACCCATAGGAGGGTTGTGTGCCTGGCAGGGCCGGATGAAAGCCTGTGACGGCCAAGAGGTGGATGCCCCTTCTGCCGCACGAGTCAAAATAAAAGCCAAATATACCCACGACATTCGTTGGGACGTCCCACGAAATAGCGACTTCCCCCAAAACGACCAGGTTAGCGCCTTTCCCGAGCTATCACGTGCCAACGGCACAACCTTCCTCGGTGGTTCCCATGCCCGGTGCGCCCAGCCGGCCAAGCAAACGCCCTAACTGGTGGTGGCCTAACTCCAGCTCTGAGCGCGGCCGTCCTCGGCCCGCTCGTCGCTTGCGGGGCGCGATCTCTTCCTCGCTCTCGGACTAAAAGGAAAGGAGCGTCTCGGTTCTGATATTTCCAGACTGCTTCCACCTTCTGATCTGCCATTTTCTATCAAGATGCGATTTTCCCATGACCAACGGGCTAACTCATAAGTAGGTCACGCCATCGCCTCCGATAATCCCCATAAATAGCGAACAAATGCGTCTTAAGCCTTCAGAAAACCAAGCTTTTTAAACCGCTTACAGCTTTCTGTTTAGACAAGCTAAGGTTTTTTCCTCTTAACTGCTTAGGCATACTTTGACTACAACTGAAAGTGGTAAGAAATATTTGAAAGTTTCTAATGGGATGGGCCTTTGAATAAGTTGGTTGTATTTTTATTTATTTATTTTTAATGTTTATTTTTGAGAGAGAGAAAGAGTACAAGCAGAGGAGGGCCGGGGGGCGGGGCGCTGACAGCAAGCCCGACGGGGGGCTTGAACCCACGAACCAGGAGATCATGACCCGAGCCAAAGGCGGTCGCTCAACCCACTGAGCCACCCAGGCGCCCCTCTAATGGGATGGTTTGAACGGCATTTGACACACAGGCTTCCCACCGCTTCTCCTCTGGACGGTGCAATCCGGCCTCCTCTGCACCTGCTCATTTCCAGGTGCTGCTTTTGTGACCAGACAGGCTACGAATAGGGACTTCCTGGCTCCTAAGAGGACCCTCACCATAATTCCCGCTCCCAGATCAGAGATCAAGAGAAGACGCAAAACCGAAATGCATCTAATTTCTCTCTCCTCCCTGAGTGTGGTCTCCTCAGTCACTCTTGACTATGCCCTTCCCTGTCCCCAGCACACCGCACTGACCCCGACCCCAGATTTCCATTAGCCCCTGGGACTTCTCACGCTACTGGGAGAGGGGCAAGGGCATGACAATGACCGACCTACCTCTGGATGATGCTTCGTGATTTTCAAAGTACTTTGTACAAATGATCTGACCCTCGGGAGCGCCCGGGTGGCGCAGCCGGTTAAGCATCTGACTCCTGACGTCAGTTCGGGCAGGTCACGATCCCACAGTTTGTGAGCTGGAGGCCCGCACCGGGCTCAGCCTCGATGGTGCAGATCCTGCTCGGGATTCTGTCTCTCCTTCTCTCTGCCCCTCCCTGGCTTGTGCTTTCTCTCTGTCCCAAAATAAATAAATAAACTTAAAAAGAGGAAAACAATCTGACCCTCAAACAGCAGGTGTGAACTGCGGGGGTCCACTTCAACACCGCCGGTTCTCGACAAACACAGCACGGTACTGTCTGTGCGTTTTCTCTTGTGATCGTCGTAACAGCGCTGGCTTTTCTCACGCTCGCTTTTCAGTGGGAATACGGTATATCGTACACGTAACATGTAGCATATGCGCCAATCGACCGTTTACGCTATTGGTAAGGTTCTGGGTCAACAGCAGGCCGTATTAGCAGCTAAGTTTTAGGGGAGTCAAAAGTTCCACGCTCATTCGTGACTGTGGGGTCTCTCCTAAAAACCCGATGAAGTCGGCAACACAGAATCTTTTGCTTTTCATCAGAGGCACTAAGGTTTAGGAAGGTTAAATGGACCGACCCGAGGTCCTAAAGCATTCCTGCCGGCCCTGCGACCCAGGCCCGCAGACCCTGCGTTTTCTCTCCTGTCCACTCTGCTGCCTCTGCCCAGCTCAACCTTCTGCTTTCCAGGCAGAGAGGAAGCAGAGACAGTGAGAGTCCTGGTCCAGCTCTCAGCCTCCAGTGGCGGAGAAGATAACAGATTTCTTATAGGCTGGATTCCCGGCAAGGACGACGGGTGGGCTCGGCCCTGAGTCGGAGCTGCCCGGAGGGAGCGGCTGCGCTGGGGTTTGGGGACCGAGGAAGTGGGAAGGGGGAGGGTGTGAAACGGGACTCTTTTCTCCTCCCCAGATGTCCATCCACCTGCAGGAGGAGAGCTCCCAGCCCCACGTGCTGATGATGAAGGGGGCCCCCGAGAGGATCCTGGAGTTTTGCTCCACGTACCTTCTGAACGGAGAGGAGTACCCCATAGATGAGAAGATGAAGAGCAAGTTCCAGGACGCCTATCTGGAGCTGGGAGGCCTGGGGGAGCGCGTGCTCGGTGAGGGGCTGGGAAAGAACCCTGGAAGGACTGGCACCACCTGGTCGTGGCTCGGGGGGCGCAGAGCTGAAGGCGCTGGGGTGAGCGGGACGGAGACGTCGGCAGCTGAAGGACTTCCGTTCCCTCTGTCTCTCCAGGCTTCTGTTTCTTGAATCTGCCCACCACTTTCTCCAAGGGATTCAAGTTTGACACGGATGAGATCAATTTCCCCATGGAGGACCTTTGCTTTGTGGGGCTCATCTCCATGATTGACCCTCCCCGGGCCGCCGTGCCCGACGCCGTGGGCAAGTGTCGCAGTGCGGGGATTAAGGTAAACCTCTGACGGTCCCAGGAGCCGCCGACCCGTCACAACACGGCACAAGGGTAGAAAGCTTTGCATGGAACGGGTTCTCTGCCATCTAGGTTTACCTGAATTGATTTCGGTTTCCTCGAGCTCATGATGTTTAGTCGTAAGAGACGACCTAGTAGTAAACGGGAAGTTTCTTCTGTCGTTAGAACCCTGTCTTGCGTTGACCGTGAGAATCATCAGGGGAGCTTTAAAAATCTGATGGCTGGGGGCGCCTGGCGGGCTCAGTCGGTGGAACCTGTGACCGTTGATCTTGGGGTTGTGAGTTCAAGCCCCACATTGGGTATAGAGGTTACTTAAATAAATAAATGAATAAACTTCAAAAAAAAAATCTGATGCCTAGGCCATACCCCAGACCCATTACATCGGAAACTCTCAGGGTGGGGCCCGGGCATCTGCATTTTTTAAAACATTCATAGAGATTTCCGTAGGCAGGTCAGTTTGAGGACCGGCGTCCTAGGACACGGTTGTGCATGCGACTCATCTGGGGCTTTTTCTGGAACGCAGGTGTTGATTCAGCAGGTCTAAGTCACCCTGAGATTCTGCACTGGTGACAAGCTCCCAGATGATGCCGGTCCGCAGGCCACAGTAGAGGTAGCCAAGTGCTAGAAGGGGTCAGGTCAATGTGCTGCCGGGATGGGCTGGGGGTTGGAGCAGGCGATGGCGAGAATGAGGTCATGAGAGCTGGGCCCTCGACCTGACGCAGGGAACAGCCGCGCTAACAGGCACACGTCCGGGGGTACAAAAGCTGACACCAAAGTGAATCGGTCGGAAAGTGAGGCATAGTCGCCGGGCACCCCCGGAGGTGGGGATTGTTCCCTGGCCAGGGGGTGCTCGGGCTTCAGGGGGGAGCTGCAGAGTTTCTCTAGTCCTGAGACGTTCTGTACCCCACTTCCACGCCAAATTCTAAGACTCACCTCCAACCTGGGAGATTAGAGATTGGCACCTCTCCCGCTCTTACCTGATATTCCGGATCCCAGACGTGGGGGGAGAGCAGTTAGATGGAGGGGTGGGGCGGAGGGTAGCACTGGAGGTCTTTAGGGAGAACGAGATGCTCTCTGCAGAGCTGGCTTTATCTTAGACCTTTGACTGTGGGCAGTTTGTCAGAGGGCAGCTGGGCCATGCCAAGTTCAAGGATTGGTTTCTGAGAACCAAGGGCTGGATGTAGGAACTATTTTGAGTGAATTCCCTAATGAGTACACACTGCTTGCATGGGACAGTTCTCTGTAGCGACAGCCTCATTGTAGCACATCTGCGGAGGATGCCCACACCGACCCGAGCTCCCTCCCTCTGGCTCTCTGAGCTCCCACACCATGCGATGGGAGGCACGTGGAGAAGGGCCCATTGGAGTTTCCTGAGCTTTGAGGCGGCCGTCGGAGTGGGGAATCACGCTGCAGGTGTGAAATGCATCTGGGGATCTGTGGGTCCCTTTAGCGAGAAGAAGAGGGTCACAAATGCACCTGCAGGCAGGGAGGACCGAACGGGGGGCGGGGGGGGACAAGGGGCTGACCGAGCCTGGGTGTCGTCAGGGCCCGAAGCAGGCGAGCCCGCAGCAGTCGGAGGCTGAGGCCTTGCTGCCTTCCGGGCCAGCCCGTGTTCCGGGCACAGATGTGCAGTTCCCGTCATCACTTCCTCTGGACCCTAAGCTGCCAGGACTTTGGCCGACTTGGTGAGAAATTTTGAGTCATCCCTTTTCCCTGCAGGGAAGTGAAAGACATACATGTGACACCATCCTCCGAGGAGGACAAAATGTGAGACGTACAGGGGGTTGCCCCGAAGGGTGGACCCTTTCAGGGCCGATTCCAAAACGGCGCTGATGCAGAGCGGATCGATGTTAACGCGGCGGCTGACAGGGATCGGATGGCGGTCCCAGGGCAGCGAAGTTCCTACAAGGAAATGACGGGAGGGCCCATACTTCCCCAGGTAGAGCCCTGTGCTCAGGCCTTTGGAACTAATGTGATTTAATAAACCTGCAAGGACCGACCCCATTACATTTGCCACTCGTCGAGGCTGCATGGTTCCGTCACAGCCACGGAGTTGCCTTCTCCTTCCATCGGCGCCCGGAAAATCATGCGCCTGGAGGGCACCCGGGAGCCAGGAGCCGTGGTTCCCCGGACGCGGTCACTCTTTCTCCCTTCTCTGATGGCTGTTTGTGGAACGAGGGCTGTGTGCCAGGCTTCGCGCCAGGGCCAAACTTCACAAGGGGTCACGGACACGGCCCTCCCTTGCAGAGCTCACGGTGGCGCGCGGGGAGGTGGGCGCTCCCCACGGAGAGGAGGCTAAGTGCTGACATACAGAAGGGGACCCCAGGAGAGGCGAAGGAAGAGGGAGTGAGAGGAAAAGCGAGGATCAGCACACACCTGGGCCTAGATGGTATTTTGCTAGGGCAGACGGATGATTCCAGACGTTCCTTTGTTACCATGTGTTCTCTGTGTAGGTGTTTGTCTTCTGAGCTTGAAGAAGCCGACCAGCTTCTGGAGCAAATTCAATGAAATTCTGAATATAGTAATGTGCCCAAATTCCCAGTTTATTCCTGGGAAACCTAGAGCCCAAACGGTTCTATGTTTTATGGTCTGGTGGTCCTGACCCAGTCCCGGGAGGGAAGCCACGGCAGCGCAAGGTCTCGGGGATGAGCTGCTAACTCCCCTGTGGAATAAAGGCGGTGATCCATTGGGTTGTGGGGAGAAAGGCAAAGGATCCAGGACTCCCTGAAGATGATTCTTCTCTTTCCTCCCTTCCCAACCCAGGTGATTATGGTAACAGGGGATCATCCCATTACAGCCAAGGCCATAGCCAAAGGGGTGGGCATCATCTCTGAAGGCGCTAGAACAATAGACAACGTGGCCGCCCAGCTCAAGGTCCCCATCTGCAGCAGCATCGACCCCAGGTGGGACCCCTAAAGAACTCAGATCTGCCGTTTGTTCCCTCCGTCCTCAGTCTGCCCCACCCGGATCCCCACTCACTAAGGTTCTTGAAGCCTCGTGCGGTAGGTAGATAGGACGTATGGGGTTTACTGACGGCAAAGTAAAACATGATAGGGAAATGGCCACACGACCACATCAGTGAGTTTGCAGAAGGACGCAGAGCAAAGGGAGGGGCAGGCGGGAAGCAGGCAAGGGTGCGGTGTGTCCACCTGGGGACAGCGGGTGGCCGGGGACACGCGAGCTCTGAGCCCTCTGAACCGACTTTTGGAACCCGTTCCCTCAGGGAAGCCAAGGCCATCGTGGTGCACGGCTCGGACCTGAAGGACATGACGTCGGAGCAGCTGGACGAGATCCTCAGGAACCACACGGAGATCGTGTTCGCGCGGACGTCCCCGCAACAGAAACTCATCATCGTGGAGGGCTGTCAGAGGCAGGTGAGGACGACGGGGGGTGCCTCGGGGGGCCCCGCCCAGCCCAGCCCCAAACCTCCTGGGGCCGGGAGGAGACTCCCGAGAGCACCCTGTCTTGAGCCCTGAGACGGCCGCCAGTTGAGGCCCCCCGAGAGTTCTAACGTCTCAGGAGGAGCCGGACAGGGAAGGGCCGGGCACGAGGACCTTTAGAGACAAGGGATGATGGGAGCAGAGTGAGCTTTGGGACGGGTCCCGATGGGTCACAGTGGTGTGAGTTCAGTCCCTCTGTGCTTCGCCCAGGGGGCCATCGTGGCGGTGACGGGGGACGGCGTGAACGACTCCCCCGCGCTGAAGAAGGCTGACATCGGCATCGCCATGGGCATCTCGGGCTCCGACGTGTCGAAGCAGGCCGCCGACATGATCCTGCTGGACGACAACTTCGCCTCCATCGTCACGGGCGTGGAGGAGGGTGAGGGGCCACGCGGGCTGGGGTGGCGTCGGGGACGCTAAGCCGGCGCTGGCTTCCCAGGCCTCTGGACCCCAACGCAGAGCCGACGCAGGGCCCCAGGCACCCGCATGCCGCCTCGGCTCCCCTCCAACACACATTCCCCCGTCTCTGGGGGACACGGGCCACCATGCTTCGAGCGCCTGGGCCGGGGAGGGGGCCCTCCCGTCTCCCTGACGCCCTCACCACCTCCCACAGGCCGCCTCATCTTTGACAACCTGAAGAAATCCATCGCGTACACCCTGACCAGCAACATCCCCGAGATCACCCCCTTCCTGCTCTTCATCATCGCCAACATCCCCCTGCCTCTGGGCACCGTGACCATCCTCTGCATCGACCTGGGCACAGACATGGTGAGGCCCAGCCTGGAACCCGGCTCGAGGAGCTCCCGGGAGAGGGTCTGGAGGCAGGAAAAGTCCGTGTTCAGGGTGAGGGACAGAGCTCGCTCAAGTGACTTGTGAGTTTCCTCCTGAACTTTGCGTCCTTTGTCTCTCCCACCCTCCAGGTCCCGGCCATCTCCTTGGCTTACGAGTCAGCTGAAAGTGACATCATGAAGAGGGCCCCGCGGAATCCAAAGACTGATAACCTGGTGAACCACCGTCTCATTGGCATGGCCTACGGACAGATTGGTGCGGCCAGAGGAATGGGGGGCTGGGGGTGTGGGGAGCGGTTGCACCTGCCGGGCCGTTGGAGTCGGCTCCGTGTGGAAGTCAGGGAGATACTTTCATGACAACAGACCGTGCTGGGCCCTGGGAACACACAGAGCCGCTGAGCTCTGATCTGCCCTTGACTTCAGAGTCTAGCCGAGAAGGAACACACGCACATCAAAGGAGAGCACCTTTCCAAGTGCCAAACAACGAACGTGAATGGGACACGTGACCGGAGAACAGAGCAGGGGGCTCACGAGCCAGGAGGACAGTCAGGGGGGACCCTGTGGAGGAAACAAGACCCGCACCCGCTGTTAGAAGACGGCAGGCGTACAGTCAGCTGAGGGGGTCAGGGGAGGGGAAACACACATGTCTGCCAGTTGAAGAGTGAGTCGGCAGCTTTGGGGGAGCGCGTACTCCCGAGAAAGGAGCGGTAGAGAATCAGGCTGTAGGCACAGGTCGCGTGAATCCTGGAGCCAGCCTCGAAGGACACTTGAGAGCCGTCAGAAGTCTTTGCTCTGGACTCGCCAGTGGAGCAGGCGAGGGATGGACAGGGAAGAGACTGGGGACAGGGGACATCTAGAAGAGGAAACACGTAGAAGCCGCTAGACCCAGGAGCTGCTAGGTGTGAGTCCCGATTTCGCCACTTAGTGCCCGTGGGACCCCGGATGAGGTTAGAACCTGTTTTCCCCCTGACGAATAGTTTATCATTGTTGTGAGAATCAGCGTCCACAGGGACTCCGTGCGCAGCCCCGCAGCCGGTATGCTAACCCTGACATCCTCTATCGCCGTGGCCAGGCTTGGGGGACGGAGGTGTTGACTCAGGGACAGGCAAGGGGCAGGCAGGGGAGTCTCGAAGAGAGCACAGGACCTGATGAGGGCCCGCACGAGAGAGGAAGTGGAGAAAGAGGAGTCCAGCGCGCTCTCGGTGGAAAGGGGGAATAAATCCCCTCCAAGGTCCTTTCAGTTTTAAGATTATACGACTCAAAGAAGGCTCTGGGTTAGAGCCCAAAGACAAACGTCAGGGCTTGGACACAAGTCCGAGAGAGATGATGGGACCGGGTCACTGACGGCCGGCATCTCCGGCCTTAGAAGCTCAGACACACACCAACCCAGCCAGGAGCCACTCCCGGCCACCACCCCTTCCATGGTCTGCCTTGTGAGGTGCTTCTCTGAAGCAGTTTCCCCTGTCCTGTGACTCTGCCATTCACAGGGATGATCCAGGCTCTGGCTGGCTTCTTCACCTACTTCGTGATCCTGGCCGAGAATGGTTTCAGACCTCTTGATCTGCTGGGCATCCGTCTCAACTGGGAAAACAGATTCCTCAATGACCTGGAGGACAGTTACGGACAGCAATGGGTGCGTCAGGGGGTCGGCCCTAGAGAGTGGCCAGTGAGAGTGGGCCAGTGAGAGTGGAGAAGGGAGGCAGCAGACAGACAGAGGTGACGCCTCTTCTCCAGTCCCACACGACCCCAATCTCCGATCACGTCGGCAAAGGTCCTTCAAGTGACGACTTGGCGTAATGGCTTCATTTCCATTTGTTCCTGCTGTCTGTCACCTGTCCTTACCTTCCTGCATCTTTTGGCTTCCTTAGTCCTGGTGTTCTTCCTCCTCAGGTCAACTTTTGGAGGCTGATTTCTGTTCTTCCAGGTTCCAGCCATCATTGGCCCAGAAATGAGGGCTGGCTCTTCTCCCTCTGTTCTCTCCCTCCCTCTGCGGGAGTTCAAATAATATGATTTCAAGTCTGAAAACCTATTTGCTTTGTCTCCCCCTTTCTCACCTTTCTAAGCTTTTAAACCCAGAGGATGCCTCTCTGTAGTAGGCTTCCCTAAAACCCAGGACGAACCCCAACACGAGGTGTTTGAGAATTTTAGTGAGTGTGCTTTTTTCCTACCTGTGAACAACTCCTGTCCCAATTTCCAAGACAGTAGGAGATGTGACCCCAATTATTGCTAGCATCGTAGGACCACAGAAGACACAAAGTTGATGGAGGACACATAGTCTATTATCCCTGTGTAAGTGAGGAAGCAGAGTCTGGAAGGATTCCCCGACTTGCACCAAGTCCCACAACACATCCCTAGAAGAGCTGGGCGGGAGCTCCACGCTGACTCTCGTCTAACACCTTCCTCCTTCACCATGATGCCTCTAAGCCAGCGCTAATTGTAGGTTTCCCGATAGTGTGCTAGAATCCCGGTCGTTGGAAAGATGCCCACTGAACGCACTTGGCTTCCCCTAGCTCAGCCCCACGAGGCCATCAGATGTCAGTGTTCCCAGCAACCAACATCGCTCCGGGGGCCAATGAGGCCCCAAATCATGGTCAGCATCCCCTCAATCCTCAACTCCAGCCTTTGTTAGTTTCATATCTTGATACTTTCTCCCTGCGGCCAAGATGCAGCCTCACGTAGTGGTGGTCAGAGCAGAAGAGATGCTTGAAATTGAAATCGCAGAGAAACAAGCTGTTGGGAAGGACAGGATCTGGAGTCTCCCTGAGGGAGCAAAGGGCCCAGGTGGGGAGCGGAGGCAAACACCGCTGGAGAAGGAGATGATGGGGGGGGGGGGGCAGACATCGAGACCGTGGCAGTGGAAGGATCATCCACACGGATATTTGGATCCCCAGAAACCAGGACAGGAGCGGTGTTAGGCAGTGAGTCAGAGCCAAGATCTGCCAGCGGCCCCAGAGCCCCGGGGTGTTGGTCGATGACCACCTGCAAGACGTGGCCATGCAACCTGGCGTCACAAACGTGCCCGCTGGATGCGTTACCTGCGCAGCGCTTGGCTCATCAACTTCCGGTCGTTTCCATCCGATGTCTTCTGGTCATTTAGGGCTCGATCTCTTCCCCCGGGTACCACTTGGGCCACACCCCCTGAGGTTCGGCACGTGGCATCCCACTGTCGTCCAGTCCTACGTATTTTCAAATTCTTGATTCCTTCTACAAGTTTGCTGTAAACAGGCCGTTTTTGTCTTCCAACATGGGCTTCTCCTCCAGCCTAATTTGGATGCGCCTCTTCTGTGTTCTCACGGTCCCGAGTGACCTCTCTTATAAACCACTATGAGGCTGACACGGCCAGCCTGTTTATCTTCCCCACTAGATTTACGTTCCTTACGCGGGAAGTGTGAGTGCGAGAGAGAACCACTGGAGATGTGTGGTCGCCTCCTCCCCGGTGCCACCCGTTCGGGCATTCCCGTCTCTGTGGTCAGATGCCCTCTGGCCCCACCTTCCTTTCTGAGCCATCTCCTCTGACGCCGCTCTCGGGGTCCGCCTCCCCTCACACAACCCTTCTCGTTCTAACGCGGGGATTCCCGAGCCGCACCACGTGCCGCTCACGGAACTAAGCTTGGGAGGGTGCTCGAAGGTCAATGGGACAGGTGCTTGCCCTTGAGTCGTTCTCAGTGGGTCAGGACAGCCTGTGAACTAGCTCACAACCCAGCGCGAACAAGAGGGCTGGGACGAGAGGGCGTAAAGCCGAAGGGGCTGAAGGTCTGACCCAGCCTTGGGGTCCAGGACGGCAGGAGGGGCCCTGAGGTGCACCCGAACCCCTTCTGACAGTGCCCCTCCCCACCCTGCCCGCCCCCAGACCTACGAGCAGCGGAAGGTGGTGGAGTTCACGTGCCACACGGCCTTCTTTGTCAGCATCGTGGTCGTGCAGTGGGCCGACCTCATCATCTGCAAGACCCGCCGTAACTCCATCTTCCAGCAGGGCATGAAGTGAGCGCCCCCCGGGCCCCCACCGCCTCACACCTGCACGCAGGGCACTGGCTTCCCCTACCTCTCCCTCCCTTTCTTCGGCACACCCTTCCACCTTTCTTCCCAGAAACAACATCCTAATATTTGGGCTCATGGAGGAGACATTCCTGGCTGTTCTTCTCTCCTACACTCCAGGCATGGACATGGCCCTGCGGATGTACCCACTCAAGTGAGTAAGGGAAGGGACGCAAGCCAGGGGGGTGGGGATCCCCGGCACAGGGAGAGCCTGGGACAGGAAGTGGTGTGTTGGAAAGGGAAGCCCCGAGCTGGGGGCTGCCTGGCTGGCTGGGGGCCGTCCTGGGTGACGTGAGGAGAATCATCTGTGCTCCAAGAAGCATGTCTTATTTAGGGAGGGACTGGGACCGTGTCAAGTGACCCTCGTCCAGACATGCAAATTGAGCAGACTTACTGGCACTAAACAGAGGGGCACCTTTTTTTATGGTGATGTGTGCTATAACTGTTCCAGGATTCAAATTGCTCAGAGGGGAAGTAGGCATAAAAATCGCCCAATCTAGGCATGGCTAATCCTGTCCTACTCAGGCAAACACATTCAAAGCGCATACGTGCCGAGGTGAGCGGGCGTACTGAAGTTCTTACTGGCTGGTGCCTCGTTTTGTTCCAAACAGGCCCGTGCGTCTGTGTCTTGGTGTATTTTGTTTTTTTTACATCGGCGTGCGCTTGTTACGAAGATGTTCTATCGCGACTTTTACAGGGAAAAAAAAGCAAACGTGCCATACCACCCCACTCTCATCGCCCTGCCCGCCTCTGCAATGGTCTCGGGCGTGTTCGTCCAGCTCATCTGCCACGAATTCACACACTTTGCTCACCTTTCCGTCCCTTGCAGTGTTTCACACAACGCTTTGTGGGCTGTAGGTGCTCAATGAATGCTTAATAAGAGATGTCGGCATTGCCCTTGGATACTGACGAGCCCCGTTTCGAATTCCGACTCCACTGTGTGTTGTGCTGGACGGTATATAACCAGTCTGAGGCTCAGCTTTCCCTGCAGAGTCTTGGTCATGCACACCTGGCAGAGTATTGTGAGAATGACACAAGGAAAGAATATTATGCACCAAGCGCGGCTCCTTGGGTCGTGGCGGGAGCTTTGTTGGCAGTGGTTCTATTATTGTTGCCATTAACGTCAACACGCAAGTCCTGGTAGATGCGGTTGAGCATTAACCGTGATCCCAAACATCCTGTACCCTCCCCGGCCATACAACACATCCCCTAACACTGTATTCGTGTTGGGTGTCTTTCTACCTTCTTTCCCCTTGATCACCTGAGCTCCTGGAGATCAAAGGCCATCCTGGCATCACTTTTATTCCCCTGGGACCTGCGCGGACACAGAGCGGACACACGGCAGTTGCTGTTGAGTGACTGGGCGGCTGTGTGTGTGGGACCGCGTGTGCGCGTGTGCAGTGAGCCCGCGGCCAAAGCCAATATGGCTGGCCAATATGGCAGCCGCCCTGCTTCCGTCCCTCGTTCTCAGGCTCCTGAGACATGGCTAGTGAGAGACCGATAAACGGAATCCGCCATTGTAGCTAGCTGAGGTAGAGTTAAAAGCTAAAGTGCCATCAGAGATTATTCTACTCAATACACCTTTCCTGTTTGGGTTGGGCTACGGTTTCCGCTGCCCTTTGAAAATCGAGGGTCCGACATGCGATGCGCTGTCATTGTGAAGTGCCCCCTGGACCTCGAAGGCTTAGGACAAAAGGAAGAGTGTAAACCATCCCCTTAAAAACGTTCACGTTGGTTCCACGTGGAAATGCTGATACTTCGGACACACTGGGTGAGATAAAACGCCCTGTTAGAATTACTTGCCCCCGTTTCTTTTTACTTATTTTCATGTGGCTACTGGAAAACGTGAGCTCTCACGGGTGGCTCGCGGTGTATTTCTATCAGACGGCACTGGTCGAGGCCACCTGCCTGTCTGTCACCCCAGGGAACAGACGTGGTTCTGATTTGACTCCTCCCCAGAGTCTCTGTCCCCGGCCTCTAGTTACAGAAGGGGGTCAACCGGCAGAAGAACTTTCCGCGTGTTTGCCATATGGACACGTATATCCATCCCTTGGTGAAATGCCCCCACACGTCTAGACTCAGGTAGACGCGTCCTACTCAGACAACCTCCCCTGTGTGGGCGCAAGGCCCCGACTACCTGCAGGGCAACAGGGGTCGCCCTGAGTGGCTCCACAGAAGCCAGGAACACCGCGTGTGCCGCTAACTCAGCATTTGTCGCGTTCTGTTATCTGTGGCTGCTTGTGTTTCTGTCTCCTCCCTCCCCCCACCAGGCTCGGGCCTCCTGAAAGGTAGGGCTCAACCCTGCACCCCACAACGGGTCACGCGGTTCTGTGCGCTGTCCTCTGCACCTGCGTCCTCTGGCCCCGCCCTCGCTGCCCCACTGACCGACTCTTGCTCCCTACAGGACAGCCTGGTGGCTCTGTGCCATTCCCTACAGTGCTCTTATCTTTACCTACGATGAAATCCGAAGGCTCATCATCCGTCGTCATCCTGGCGGTGAGGCTCCCTGCGCCCTGCTCTCAGTGGTCACCGGCCTCCCCACTGGCTCTCCCCTCCTGCCCTGTTGCCCCGGGCCCCTTGCCCCCCGGGTTTTTGCTGCCGGACAGGCCCCGTGGTCCTGGCCTGCCCGCTCTGCTCCCTCCTGTCCGCGGTGCCTCCCACCTTGTCCTCGGCCCCCTCATGCCTCACGCCCCGCCCCCCCCAGACCTCCCCTCCCCCATCCCCAGTTCACTCCGGTGTCCTCTCTTCCACAGGCTGGCTGGAGAGAGAGACCTATTACTGAACTCGGCACAGGAAGAGCTTTACCTGACGGATGTCCCAGGGCCGGGTGGGGGGTCGGGGTGGCGAGCTCGGCACATGGGAGAGGGGGGCGAGCGGAGCAGAGACGCTAGGGACAGGCGAGCCTGGGGCTGCGCTGAGGGCACTGGGGCTAGGAGACCGGGTGGGTGGACGGGAAGCCCAGCGGAAGGCACTGTCCTGTTGAATCAGTCGCCAGTCTAGAGAGTAAATGTTTGCAATGGCCCTCACCTGGCTGGATGCGTCTGTCTGGTTTCTGGAGACGGGGGGTTATCGTGCCACCGTCCCCCTAGATCTCCACGGGAGCCCCGCAGGGCAGTCTTTCGGGGACCAAGTGGAGGCAGGGAGAGGGTTGGACTCAAGCATCCCTGCCCCTCGAGGGCTAGCCCCCAACTTCGAGTCTGAAGATGTGGAGGAAAACAAGGCCAGGACAAGTCAAGCAGGATCAGAGACACGGGTGCAGGCGAGGGACAAAGAGCGGAGCCACCGCCTAGAGAGGGGGCCGCAGGCGCCACGTCCCGGCTGGCAGTTGGACTCCTCATGGAGCTTTAGCGCTAGAAAAGACCTTATGAAGTCAATGAAGAGCCTGAGGTCCAGACAGGACCTGAGAAGTGTCACAGGGCGAGTGGTGAATGCCTTCCTCTGGGGACGGGGCCGCCGGTCCGCCCTCCGCGCCCCGCTGTCGGGCCATCTTGACCCCACCCCATTCTGGATCCCTGGAGCCTTGACTGTGGGTGAAGCGCCCTTGCCCCTCGCACCCCAGGCTCCGCACAGGGTGACAGACATTCCCCAAATCCTGGTCTCCGCCAGGCTCCGGGCTGGTCGCAGGTGGAGGAGGAAGACGAGCCTGGGAGTGTCTCCCTCGGGGGCGGCCCCTCCCCCTTCACCCACTTGCTGGCTCTTGCTCCCTGGGCTTCACGCTGCGGGTCAGCTCATTGGCACACGTCTTCAGGGGCCATGTCCCCAAAGCCCGCAGGGCTGGGGAAAATGCTAAGGAAAGCTGGGGGAAGTCGTAGACTGTCACCAAAAACAAAGCGTATGTGTTAAGTGAGAGCACACGTGCCTGGCAGTGGGACGAGGGCCTCGCACGCCCCATCCGCGAGTTCACACGACAAACAGATTCTTATCAGCCACCCTGTTTCTTAGATGAGGAAACCAAGGTCTGTCGGATTCCAAAACCTGTGCCCTTAACCACCCACAGACTCGTCCCCCAGCGTGGGCCGGGCAGAAAATATACACCGACAAAACAAAAAACAAAAGACGAAACAGAACAAAAGGACGGCGAGGGAGGAAGGTCCGCGGACAGTTGTAGGGAACGAGAGGCCGTGGGGTGGCAAAGAGGAAGCCATCGTAGGGGGTCACCAGCCACTCCTCCCCTCCTGAGGTCTCTCCCACCTGTCAGCCTCCCCCCTCCAGCACCAGGTCCCCTGGGGACAGGGCTATATCCGCCTGGGGTCCTTCTCTGCTGCTGACAGGGCTGAACCAGACCTGGAGGACAGAGGGGCCAGGGTGTGGGGAGTGAGGGAGCACGGGGAGCACGGGGAGCACGGAGGGGCCAGCTCCTCGGGTTTCAGTAGCAGGAGCCTCGGGTGTCTGGTGGGTTAAAAATACAGAGGCCCCAACTCAGGGTCATTTGATATCAGCGGCTGCGGCTTACGAGCCCAAGGGCCTGAGGGCAGGGGCTCAGAGAGAAGGGACGGAGCAGAAAGTAGGGAACACAGCAGCACGGAGAGCAGGCAGGGGGCAGGAGGGGAGGGTACAGCTGTTGGGAAGGACTGGCTAGGCCTGGAGGGCCAAGGGCAGGGAGTGGGAACGAAGGGGGAGAAGGTGGGGAGGCTGCGGGGCCAAGGTCACCTTTTCGCCCCGTCTCACATCCTTGGGGGAGCAGGGGGTCAGCGTCCTGGGGGACAGGGCCGGTGTTCCAGGGTCTCACCCCCCACCGACATGCGGCGGAGGGAAGAAATCCCGGCCCTCCCTCCTGCCCTCTGGCTGCGGGGCTGTGGGCGCGACAGCGGCTCTCCTGTGAGACCAGGAGAAACGTTCTGAGGCCTCTCCAGCTCCCACCAGCCCTGCTCAGGTTAGCTCCGGCCTCCCCTCCAGTGACAGCTGTCTCTCTTGGACCCACTCCTGCCACATTCTTGAGATTTTCTGTGGCCTTCCTTGCTTAGCTGTGCAAGGTCCACCCCACAGGAGGGGGCAAAGTTATTCCTCCTAAGATAATGTCACGCCCCCTGCCTGGGTGCAAACTAAACCCTGTCTCTCCAAAGCCGGAGATCCCTCAGGGTGGGAAGGGAAGACTTCTGACTTTGATCCAGCCTCTTCCCTGGCTTCCCTCGTGCCTCAGTTTACCTGTGCATGGTAAGAGCCCTGGAGGGCCGAGAAGAGGGTCCTTCCTTCCCAGGAGCCTAGAGCGGAGCTCCTCTCTGGTGCTCGCCCCCCAGGCTGGGGCGCAGGAAGTTAGAGTCCCTCCTCCCGCCAACTCTCAGGTGCACAGAATGAATCAACCTCCCCGGCCGGGGTTCGGGTCGAGGTCCCACCTCTTCGGGTTTTAACCTTTCCCCTGGCGTTTACACCTGATCCCCTTTGCGAGAATGCATCGTGGTCCAGCGTGGGGAAGCCTCCCTCCCTGTGTGCCCTGGAGAACCGGGTCCCCTCTGATGGGAGTGCAGAGCGCGAGCAGGAGGCAGGAGGCAGGAGGCGGCTGGACGGTTCCCCTCCTCTCCTGGGCCTCCTCGCGGAGAGAAACCCCCGCCTCGCATGTCTGCAGGGTGGACGGCAGCCAGGGCTCCTTGCCCCCCGCCCGCCCCGTCCTTCCCTGCGTCCCGACTGAGGAGTGTTGAGTGAAGCACAGGAAACTGGCTGGGGCCGAGCCAGGTGGCCAGTCCTGGACGAGGCTCCATCTTTTATTCAGAGGATGACCTCATCCCTGGTCCTGGCTCTCTGAAGGGAAGTGCAAGGGGGTCTCTTTCTGCAGCCCGCTTGCTTTTCACGGCCCCCTCCGCCCGCGGGATCGAGCAAACAGACCTCGTCCGGAGGAGCTTCCCGGGTTTTCCGACGACGACGGGGAGGCAATCCAGCGTCTGTGCCCCTCGTGCCCTGTGTTCGTGAATTCAATCTCTGACCCAGAATCCCTCCTCTCCACCCCCATTCCCCTCAGTCCGAGTACCCTGGCCCTCCCCGGGCTCTCCCTAATTACCCCACACCTCCCCTCCCCCAGCCCAGCATCATTTACCTCCGACTCATCTGGTCTTATTTTTAGCTCAGGCCTTTTCCTTTCTTAATATGGCGATGAGCTTCTAGGCCGGCGTGGGGACCGTGCTGAGGAGTCCTGGACGGCGGGGAAGGGGCGGGGGAGGGGCTCTGGGAGGCCGGGGGGCGGGGTGAGGTGTAGGAGGTGGGAGGGTCTCTCTCGGCCCTCGCGGAGCTGCCCTGGCCTCAGAAGGTTATCCTCTCTCCTGCCAGGCGGAGAGACATATTTAGATGGGACCAGGTGGGGGCCGACGGGTGCCAGCTTCGGGGCCGGCTCCGGTTCCCTCCCCGCCCCCTGCTCCTATCCCTCCTCCTGACCCTTTCACTCTTGGCTCTGTCGGCAGCCTGTCCGGGACCCAGCAGTGTCCTCTGTCCACTGCTCTGGGCCCTTCCCCACCCCGCCCCCACCGTGAGCCCCTAATTCGGGATTCAGGACCCAGGGCCCCTCCCTGCCCCGGCCACCCTCTTCTGGACCAGGAGAGCCGACCCGACCCAGACCCCGCGACGCCCATGGGCACTGCAGACAGGATGGGGGCCGCGGCCGTGCCCGGCCCGCGGCTGGCATTACTGCTGCTGCTGCTGCTGCTGGGGACACCCAGGCCGGGGGTGCGGGGGGAAGACGGGCTGGACTTCCCCGAGTACGACGGTGTGGACCGCGTGGTCAACGTCAACGCGAAGAACTACAAGAACATTTTCAAGAAGTACGAGGTGCTGGCGCTGCTCTACCACGAGCCCCCTGAGGACGACAAGGCCTCCCAGAGACAGTTCGAAATGGAAGAGCTGATCCTGGAGGTGAGTGGGGGGCTCCGCAGGCCCACGGGCACGCCCGCCCCCCCTCCCCCGCGAGCCCCAGCCGGCGAGTGCGCGCAGCCTCTGAGGGGGCCTGGGGGGGGGGGCGCGAGGGACAGCAGTGGACACAAGGGCGTGTGGCCTTCGCCACAAGAGAAGGGAGACTTGGAACCCAAAGTCCCACCCCAGTCAGGCCGTCGCGGGCCAGAGAGGCTGCGGGGAGACCTCGCCTCCACGCCGGGAAGCGCTGGGTTTGGCCAGGACCCGGGTGTCCTTGGAAGGGGGGCTCCAAAAAGGAAAGGGACGCTCTTCAGAGGACAGGGGAAGAGCCGCACTGTGGGGCGCTGTGGCCCCGGTCTAGTTGCTGCACCCCAAGGAGACCCGTCAGGTATGAATTTTAAATGCCCTCGACATTCGTTTGCATCCGCTTCCCGGCTGGTGGTTCCACGGAGACCACCGTGGCCTCGCTCCCTCTCCCTCGCTCCCTCTCCCTGCCCAGACTGGGCCAGGCTGCATGCCCTGGTTGGAAAGTTCTTGCAGAATGCCTTCCCCCCCCCCCCCCCCCGCTTCTCTTTGCGGGAAGCTTCCTCCCACCCCCAAGTGGACTTCAGAACGAGAGCAAAAGTTTGTGTCTGGGGACGACTGGGACGTGTGGTCACACACACTCTCCATCCTGGGATAAGGATGTCTTCTCACCCAAGCTTCTGCGGCCCTTGGCAGTATAGATGGGCCTCGGCCCGCCCTGAAGAAGGACCGCAGGCTCCCGTGTGTGTGTGTGTGTGTGTGTGTGTGTGTGTCCCTGTGGCTGCTAGGACCTGCCATCTGATTAATGCGCTGAGTATTTTTATCCTGAGCGTTCAACATCTCTGGCCATCCACCTGCCAGCAGCCTCCCTTCCCCATCCTCCTGAGGATCCGGCACCAGGGTCTGTTAGGTGGGGCGCCCTCGGCAGAGTGCATCGGGCTCCAGGGTCCAGCCGGGAGGCCGAGGGGGCAGGGTCCAGTGGGAGTGAGGGGCTGGGGTAAAGAGGGGGAGGAGTGCCCTGCCTGGGTCCCCTCTAGGGCCTGCTGGAGTCTCTGCCTCTGAAGGTGACAAGCGGTGGCCACCGTGACCCTCTGGCTTTCCCCACTCCTCAGGGACATGACCAGACTCCCCCCACACCCTCCTGCCCTCCAAAGCTCTCCCCAGTGGGGGTTACTCAGGGACTTCTAATGTCACCCCACACCGAGCGTGGCCTTCAATCAGGATGGGGGGCAGGGCCTCAGTCACTCTGTAGGCAGGGCCTCCCTCAGGAACCCCCTCAGGAACCGGGAAGGATCACACCTTCAAAGGCAGGATCAGAAGCACACCGACAAGGGCCACGTAGGGGTCAGGGGCCAACACTGGACCGCAGACCAAAGGGGTGGGCTCGCAGGGCACAGGGAGAGGCCCCGGATCCCCGCGCGGCACCCAGGGCAAGTCTTCTATTCCCCAAACGACCCCACCGGGAAGCCCCCCGAGATGGGAACAGAATCCTGGAGCCGACTTTAACCCTCCGTTCCCTCCAGTTAGCGGCCCAAGTCCTGGAAGACAAGGGCGTTGGCTTCGGGCTGGTGGACTCTGAGAAGGACGCGGCAGTAGCCAAGAAACTAGGTAAGGGACCGGCAGGGGCGAGGCAGCGTGTGGGACAGGGGAGGCCTGGGGTGTGGGGCGGGGCCCAGGCCGGCGACTCGGAGGGCAGCCCTTGTCTAGGCCAAGGGCCCCACGGTGCCCACTGGGAATGGAGTCGGAGGTGGGGGTGGGGAGAACTGAAATTGGGACGATTATGGCTGGGGTTCTAGCATCTCCTTTACTCCTTAGAGAGACCCAGGCTCAAATCCCAGAAAGAGGGGGTGGGTGGCCTTTATACTCACCTAAGAATCAGGGCTAGGTGCTGGGGGAAAGGGGACGCCAGGGAACACCACCGGCGGCCGAGGCTGGAGAGGCCCAGTCACACCCCTCCGTCCAGAGCTGGGGCCCCGGAGGTTATACACCGGCCACCAGGGAGCAGCACAGGCCCGAACTGGGCTCCGGGTGTGGCTGGGGAGGACCGTCAGTGATGAAGTCATCTAGTCAGTAATAGCAGTGGGTTAGAGGGCTGGACTGGCAGCGAGCGGCCCGAGTCCTCCCAGGAGGTGAAGGAAGCCAGGGAAGGGGGGACACCTTGTTAGACCCCACATCTCCCTATGTCCCCTTAACACCCCCCACCCCCCACTGATCCCACTTTCTCCCGGAGAGCCCCAGCCCCCCCCCCACACCCCCTGGAGAGCCACCTGGACTAGAGCCAACGGCACAGATCCCAGGGCTGTGGGGTCTGAAGGGAGGGGAGAGGGGCGGGGGAAGGGAGAGTGGAGAGGAGGACGTGGGGTCCAGGGACGCTGGCGCGGGCCCTGGACCGGTGGGCAGCCCGGCGGCCGGGCTCACCTCTGGCTCTGGCTCGCCAGGACTCACGGAAGAAGACAGCATCTACGTGTTCAAGGGAGATGAAGTCATCGAGTACGATGGCGAGTTCTCTGCTGACACCCTGGTGGAGTTTCTACTCGATGTGAGGGTCCCCTGCCCCTAACGGCGTGGCTTTAAGTCTTGACACCCTTCGCCGACCGAGTCCAGCCATGCACATGTGCACGCGCGCACACACGCGCGCACACACACACACACACACACACACACGCTTGCAGGTGATGGACAGCCCCTGCCTCCCTCTCAGCCCTGCCTCCCTCCTCCCTCTCCTCCTCCTTCCAGCGAGGAGAGAACTCACACTCTCGCCGCTGGCCCCGCTCCTCCAGGTCCTAGAGGACCCCGTGGAACTGATCGAGGGTGAACGAGAGCTGCAGGCATTTGAGAACATTGAGGACGAGATCAAGCTCATTGGCTACTTCAAGAACAAAGACTCAGAGCGTGGGTAACTCCCAGGTGTCCCTCCTTGGACCCCCGTTTTATCTGTCCCCCTAACTCCCACTCGGCCCACTGTCTCCCCATCTCTACGCCCTCCTCTCTCCGACCCACCTGCACTGGGGGCTCCCAGATGGGCACCCCCAGCGCTCCACCTTCCCCGCTAAAGTGCAGCTGCTCTCAGAGGACTGAGGGGTGGGGTCTCAGAACGAACCCCTCTGGCCGAAGGAGCCTTGGGGAGAAACAGAGGGGACGTGGCTCCCCGGCCGACCCTGGCCTCCCCAGAGACTGACTCCGAGCTACTCCCTCAGATTACAAGGCCTATGAGGACGCCGCGGAGGAGTTTCACCCCTACATCCCTTTCTTCGCCACCTTCGACAGCAAGGTTCTCCTCCCCCCCGGCCGTATGGGGTCCCCCTCGCTCCCCACAGCTGCCCTCCAGACCTCTCTCCCAGAACCTACGGTCCCTCCCTACACAGGACACTCCTCACCCCACCCCCACCTCAGGCCTCTCGCGCGCGCCCCAAAGATTTTAGATTCCCTAACCCACCCCTCTAGCGTTCAGCCAAAGCCCAGAGCAGTCAAGACACTTGTCCATTGTCACAGTGGCAGTGACAAGGGCCCAGGCTGTCTGACCTCCTTTCTAAGGGCTGCTCCCCGTGACACTGCCTCGCCCCGTGACCCACATCCCCCTGCTCCACTCCCCCCACCCCCTCCCCCAAAGGTGGCAAAGAAGCTGACCCTGAAGCTGAATGAGATTGATTTCTACGAGGCCTTCATGGAAGAGCCCGTGACCATCCCCGACAAGCCCAACAGTGAGGAGGAGATTGTCAGCTTCGTGGAGGAACACAGGAGGTGGGGAGCAGGGTCAACAGACCCCACGGGTACTGGTAGTGGGTGTCAGAATGGGATCCTAACCCAGATCTGGCTCTGTCCTTCCTCATCGTCGCCCTGCATCAGTGGTTCTTGACGGGGGTGAGGTGGGGGAGGACTTCGCCCTCCAGGGGACAACTGGCCGCATGGGAGACATTTCCGGTTGAGGAGAGCGCTGCTGGGTAGAAGCGGGGGCGCTGCCTGACCTCCTCCAGTGCCCCCAGGACAGCCCCCCGCAACAGAATTGTCCGGCCCCACATGTCAGTGGTGCTGAGGCCGAGAGGCCCTGCCTGCACTCCACAACTGGAAATACCCACTCATCGGTGTAAACGCCACCAACTCTCACTCCCCCCACTAGACCGGGGCAGGGCCGGTCAGCTTCGTCCAGCTCCATCGACACGGCACCTGGCCCGGGGCCTAGAACTTCAGAGACTCTCAGCTGTAATGGGTGAACGAGTGGATGCCCAGACGCCCAGGTCTTACCTTTCTTCCAAAGATTTCTCTCCCAGTCCGCTGGCCCACTCTGGGTTCTCCCACCTGCTTTAACCAGGCAATGATCTGGGCCTGGTGCCCAGAGCTTAGACTTTGCCAGATGGCTCTGTTCTGGGCTACAAGCCGGCTGTGCCCGAGGCTTGACCCAGAGGCAGCCTCCGCTGCGAGGGCCCCCTGGGAGGGCATCCTTCTCACCCACTGAGTAGTGGTCTCTTCCAGATCCACCCTGAGGAAGCTGAAGCCCGAGAGCATGTACGAAACCTGGGTGAGTGTCCCCCGGATGGGGCCGGGCCCCTAGGGGAGCAGGGGTGACTGAGGACTCAAGCCCCGGGAATATTCCCACCTGCCGTGCCCTCGCTTGTAGGAAATCGATGCACCGGCGGAGTGCGGAGGGTTTCGTTCCGAAGGACGTGCCACGAACGAGACACACAAAAGCTGTTAAAGAAAACGGGGGGAGGAGCCCCGAGATCTGGGGCTAGCGGATTTGCAACAGAG